AAAATGGACCTATATTTATAATTTTTTGTGGAGAGTTTTGGTACCTATTAAGAACTCAAAATACTAAATTACAGCCAATTCATTGGAAAAATACGATCAAAACCCCCAAAATACTGAAAATTAGGAGGTACCGTTATATAAGGGCTACCAGAAAAAGTGGACCTATATTCATAATTTTTTGTGGAGACATTAAGTGCCCAATAATAACTCAATATACAAAATTACAGCGTTTTCGGTTGAAAAACGCGCTCAAGAACCCCAAAATACCGAAAATTGGGAGGTACTGTTATATTGGAGCTATGCCTAAACGTGGACCGATATATCCCATCTTCGAACTTGACCTGCCTGCAGACAAAAGACAAACCTATGCAAAAATTCAGCACCCTATCTCAATTCCTTCAGAAGATAGCGTGATTACAACAGACGGACGGACGGAGGGACAGACGGACGGACATCTAGCCATGTCTTAGAATTTTACCCTGATCATGAATATATATACTTTATAGGGTTGGAAATGCATATTTTGATGAGTTACAAACGGAATGACAAAATTAATATACCCTCCATACTATGATGGAGGGTATAAAAAGAAGAAAAAACAAGAAACAATTGAAATGTACAGGAGTCAGATTGAAGTCGGGAAATTTTACAAACAACAAACTGAAGGCTTTGGTGCATGCACATCCTACTGTACAGATTAATTAGGAAACCTGGTGACAGATACATATAGTGTGTTGAGGATCTGGAAGGAACATTTTGCAAAGCTTCTGGTATCAAAAAGTGGCAGTGAAGATGATACCCCAGACCAATAAGAGATGACGGTATAGAGTGGTACCACTTAGCCAAGAGCAGGTCTGAGTAACAAGCAATCGGATCAGAATAAAAAGAATAATAAAGCAGCGGGTGCCTATGGGTTACCAGCCGATGTTCAGATACTGATCAGGTGTGTGTGTACCAGCTGATTAGTATAATTTTATAGATAAGCTGTGTCCCGTGTACAAAAAAGAGAAGGCGATATGTACAAACTATAGAGTAATTGGTCTCGTTACCATCACATATAAAGTGCTATACCGTGAACTGTGTAAAAGACTGAAGCCAATGCTTTGACCATTGGTTTCAGTCGTTGGACTATACCAATAAGGCTTCTGACCTCTCAAATCCACGATAGACCATGCACTGCGCCAAATTACATGCGCAAGAACATGAATAAGCTCTTGGAGTGTCTGAGAGTAAAATTCTCTGAAAGATATATGGGCCGATCTGCGTGTGCGGTGAATATCGAAGAACTACGAGCTATACATCGTTACACGGACATCGACATATAAAAGCGATGGTTTCATGGAGAAGGGGAAAGCCCCGAATTCGAAGGAAATATCAAGTGGAGGATGATATATCAAAGCATCGACGCACCTGGAAATCCTTGTAGTTCGGCTTATGGAACAAATGTACTGTTTCGAGCCTGTAAGAAAGAAAGTAAGAGCGTTAAATACCATCAACCACTTTTCAAAATAACTCCTGGCGGCTATATGGAAAAAAAACTGACAAGTAAATCTTAATTTGTTAATTTTTAGCTTCCCATAGGGTGTTAAATCTTCCTAACAAAAATTATCAATATTGGTTTACGTTTTGGTATTGCTCCCATAAAAAGATATCGAGCCATTTTCGGTATTTTGAAGCTTTCGCCGCATTTTCTAATTGTAGTGTCTGTAATTTGGTTGAGGTCGAACATAACAACCTTTTTACTTCTTAGTTGGATGATTTACTATCCAATGAGAACCAAAAATACCGAATTACATTCAATTTAGTTGATCGTGGACCGATATAGCCCATCGATGCAATTCTATGCAAAGTTTCTGCACCTTATCTCATTTGCTTTGGAAGATATGTCATTATAACGATATGGCTAGATAGTCTTAGAATTTAGACTGTTCCGAAATGAGACATCAAAAAATTATCAGAATTAAGAATATTTTATAATAACACTAGTATGTGTCCGTACTTCGTTGGTGAATGTGCTAATATATAAACATGTTTTAACATATAAGAGTAACTTCGGGTAATGTGGTCCACCATTTTCTTTTTTTATATTGTGGGCGTAACAAAGGTAAAAAATAAAAACAAATTGTTTGCACAACATGGTAGATTTGTAGGCTAATTATATTCAAGGTCAAAAATTATATATATTTGTCCATAAAAATGTTATTTGCTTATATTTCAAAAAACTCTAAACTGCAAATAAAAATAACTTGGCGGGTAATGTGGACCAGTATGTGTGGGTAATGAGGATCAGTAAGATAAAGGTAGATTGTGGATTAATTCTGATAAGTATCAATTTATTGCACTCTTGGGTAACAATGAATGCAAAAATATATGGGTCCATGTTTTGGAATAGCCGCCTTTTAAGGGTACCACCACATTTGCGGTATTTTGAAGGTCCTTGCTTCATTATCCAATCGAGGCACCTATAATTTCGGATATCGAGTTTTCAGAGAATAGAATACCTCCTCGCATATTAAATGCGTCCTTGTTTCGAGCTCGTCCTCATGAAAATGTCCCACTTTTTTTATAGTGGTCCACATTACCCGACATTGAATATTTTTATTTAAAAATAATTATCGGCTTCAAAATCGAATAAAAATTTAAAAATAACCGATTGTAATTACAGATAAACGTGTATTTTTGTTAAATAAAACAAGAAAACCACATAGCAAACAAAAAAACAAAATGTTCGACTATTTTACAAAATGTTCGACTATTGTGCTAAAAAATGTTCAAATCACCCTTTTACAATCAGAGCTACATTTTCACCTACTAAATTTTCAACATTGCAATTATTTATTAAACACCAAGTTTGATGTTTGTTTTCACTAATTGCGAAAACATTTATCAAGGCGGCATTGACATATTTCAAGCATTTTCTTAGAAATGGGGGGTGGTCCACATTTGACGCATGGTCCACATCAGAAAAGCAATCAGAATACACGCTAATATCGACCATATTTAAAAATTAAGTAAAATAAACTACAATTTGTGCTCTTATAGTACTTATTTCCAAAACTAATTTAAATGCCATGATTCGATCTATTCAAATTCAAATTTTACCAAATTTAGTACCATTTAGTACACATTAATAAAAATTTCCATAACTACCTACCAACCTCAACAATCCAACATAAATCATATTTCCCAGCCCTATCGGTTCACCCAAATCCCAATTGAACCAAATTTAGTATCATTTAGTATACATTTCTAAAACTATATCCATACTACAATGCTACACTCTATCATTAATCTTAATTCCATATTTCAGGATTCCAGCCCTATCGGTTCACCAAAAATCAAATTGTACCAAATCAAATTATCCTACACCCCAACTGTGATCCTAATTCAAATTTCAGGATTCGTTCGGTTAACGCAAAATTCAAATTGGTACAAATTTAGTACTATTTAGTCATATAACCAATAGAAATATTATTTCCCTACTTCAGAATTCTACCTAAATTCAAATTGTACTAAATTAAGTACCGTTAGCCCTACATAGCCCAATGCTATCGGTTCATTGAAATTGTATTAAATTCCCCGATCCTACACTCCAGTGTAAGTCCTGATTCAGATTAGGCGTGTTTACTTGCGGCAATTCTTATCGTTCTCTTTTGAACTTGCTTCATGCGTCTATACAAGGCAATTCGGTTTCATAATTTTTTTCTTTGACATTTTGTCACAATGTTCTGGATTGGTATTTCAAATTACTGACACTACAAACAAAATACACAAAACGAATTGCCAGAAAATTGCCGGTACGAGCAATTTTTTTCAATGAATTTGTCAATGACATGAATTTGTCAATAAGAATATGAAAACATTGGACACATTTTATAATTTTTCACGTTTATTTCTCGATTTTGTTTAGCTCGCTAAGAGACGTGGACTTGACGTATTTGGGTAATACGGCCGTACAAAACATTTCACCATGGGTATGTTGAATATTTTAGTACGCTTCGTTGAATTTTAGGTAACGTTGTAAGGCTGTAAAAGGTGGCTACATTTAACCGGATTTGGTTAACCCAGTGGGTTTAAATTTTCAATTCCTTTGAATATATGCCAAATAAATCCTCATAAAGTAGGTTAAGCCGGTAAAAAGTTCTAATGTAAATGCCGTAGCATGGTATAATAATAGAAGGTAAAACTCCTTGTACATTAGAACTTTTTACCGGGTTAACCTACTTTATGAGGATTTATTTGACATATATGCAAAGGAAATGACAATTGAATCCCACTGGGTTAACGAAATCCGGTTAAATGTAAACATACTGTAACAGCAAGTGTTGTTGTACAAAAAACGATACAACAACCACATGGAAATTTGTTGTTGTAAGTTCTACTAGTGTCAACTCATTTGACAGAAAAATGTAAATAAACAAACAAATTATCATCAAATTATTTTTATTTTGAAAATGAAATATTTTCGAATCCTCAAAATAAAAATTGAAAAACATGAATGAAAATCTATCAAATTTATTTTTCTATCTATTCCACATCTTTTCTATAATAGAGCCATTGCCATATATATGTGTAACACATATGGAAATGATGGGAATAGCGAGATATTCCTTGAAGAAAGATTTGCTTCCTCAAACTTTCCCAGCAGGCAGATTGAGTAAATTGAATACAGGAGCACATTTAATAAAGAACAATTTTAAATTGTATGCGTTCCCAATTTTCCTGTTGGGTGATTTTTAAAAACATAATTTGTCAAATTCATATTGACACTAGTATAACGTTGGAATCAAATCAGCTGGGATTTGCTGTTACCTTTTATAATTGTACCATGATGCCGTAGTAGTTTAAAGAGGGTAATTGTCAATAAAATATTTTTGAAGACACATGAAGTTTATTTATTTCATTCGAATTAATTAATTTTTATAAATTACAAAATCTACACAATAATCAACAAAGAAATTAAATAAATGAAATTAAATATAAATAGCCGCACATTCTGCTCAAGCCAAGCTATGACCATATGGTGAAACGAAATCCCTTTGAAATGCAGACGGATGTAAATGATGAGGCATTGCACCGGGATGATGATGATGCGGAGCATGACCGTTCATACTGCCATAAATATCTGTGGACCGCTTCATTGGTGTTCCGGTAAGTAGTTCAGTCATAAATCCGATATAGGTTATAGCCAAACGTAATGTTTCGATACGTGATAGACGTTTTTCGTAGGCAAATGTTGGAACTTTTCGTCGTAGCTTATCGAAAGCTTCATTCAAATTAAACATTCGGCGACGTTCGCGAATATTTGCAGCTCTTCGTTGAGCCAGCGATGCAGTACGGCGACGTGTTTTCTTTGTAGGATTTGGATTAGACGATGAAGTACCATTCGTATGGCGACTACTGCCATTGGGACGAGGTGTCACAATAGTGCCGACTTGTGAACGTTGCCAAAGAGCTGAAATAGTGATAAAGAACACACACATACATATGTGAATTTTTGTATTGTATTTCTATAGAAATTTCGTTTTCGTGATAGTTGTTTCGACCCGCCCATCTTGCTATACGGTTTTTTTATTTTAAAATATATAACGCACGAACTTATCTACATATTTAACTCCATATTGATTGCATATTAGGAACCCTTAAATGAGTACTTGAAAACAAAACTTGTGTGCTGAAATATTCTATTGTTCAACCTTGGTGGAGTCCCCGCGGCCCTTTCATCGTTTTAGAACTTAAATTGTTGTTTATTATAAAACTGGCATATGCCCGCTTTATTACAAATTGTATTCTTGTAATACTTATTTCGAAAAACAAATCCAAATTTCAAATGTAGCATCACCCAAATCCAAATTTAGTACAAGTTAGTACACATCAATATAAATTTCCATAACTACCTAATTTAACAATCATAAGTACGAATTCCCTAATCACCACAATCTTAATTCCAAATCTCAGGATTTTAGCTCTATAGGTTCATCTAAATCCAAATTATATTAAATTTAGTACCACTTAGTACACATACGTTGAAATTTTCATTACTACCTACATCAATCGAATGGAAATCTTATTACCCAATGTCAGGATTCCAGCCCTATCGCTTCACTCTAAATCCAAATTTTACCAAATTAAGTGCCATTTAGTACATATTAGTAGACATTTCCAAAATTTCCTACAGACACCAATCCAACACCCCACAGTGATCCTAACTCCAAATTTCAAGATTCCAGCTCTAGTGGTTTACCTAATTCCAAATTTGGTACCATTTAATAAAAATTTCAAATACTTTCTACATATTCCAATCCTATACCCAAACAGTGACCCTGACTCCATATTTCAGGATTCTAGCTCCATTGGTTAACCCAAAACCAAATTTTACCAATTATAGTACGATTTAGTACTTTTCGTACACGTAAGTAAAAAATGTCCAAACGCCGAGCTAATTTCAAATTTCGGTTTCCATCCGTTTCTCTAAATTCAAATTGTACCAAATCTAGTACAGTTTAGTACTTTTCGTATACATGAGTACACGCTCCAGTACAATTTTGAACAGTAGGGTGCAGAGGGTATCCTTGCTTTACTTTCGTGGTGCTCCCTTACAGCCCAATGCTAGCCATATGTCAGTTCTTCGGATGTTTCGGAAAGGTTTCTTAAGATTCTATAGATCTTATGACTCGGAGGGGGTTCGTTTCTATTTGTGACACTAACTGGTCCCTCTGCTGTTTTTGCCAGATTTACTAGGAACTTCCTTTAGATTTTTTTGTGGCTCTCTTAACTTGTTTTGAAAGTTGTTAATGGTGACTAGGACTAAAAACCTAAAATGATACAGGCCTGCATATGGGGGCTATGTTAAAACATAGGCATAGGTTTTGTACTCACTATGATTTCTTATTGCAAATTACTGCCACGTTGGTTGTAAAATGGGGATAAAACCTTCACGAACCGATCATCATCGAAAATTATATGCGTCGTCCTTGTCCTAATGGTAATACTAAACAAAATCAGAATACGTAGACACCTGTATGTTTTTTAAGGAAAATTCCTACATCCGGGGAGATAGAACAATAAAAATTGGTATCAAGCACTCCACTTAGATATACTATCAACATCTCGTGTCTATGCCGTTCAGGAGTAAATATATACGCCATAGAATACAAATATTGTAATTTTTCACACAAAAGTCCTTGGTTCATTTGACCAGCTAAATATTGACCCGTCTTCATCAAAATAGTCATGTTTTTCTATGTTCAAACTCCTTTCTCTGTGCAATATTTTGTGATGTTCCGGTCATTAACACAAAAAAGAGGTCTTCTTTGGTCAGAACCCGTCCTACATGCAAAATTTCGTGTTTAAAAAATGTAATGGACAGACGACACATGTCTAGATAAACTCAGCTAGTTGAGATATTACGATCGGCATATCAAAAGTTGGGTCTAGGACCAATATTTTGCAGTGTTACAAACTCTTGGGGTCACACAAAACAATAATACTCTGATAGGGTATTGTATTGTGTAGGGTATAAATATTATGTGACTAAGTATTTTCCCCAGCAATGATCCGAAATGTTACAGAGGTTGGAAAAAATTCCCTAGTACCATGTAAATGCATAAAGCGGTGGCGGAATCGTATAATGTTTTTAGAGTAGCTTCTTGTCCAGCAGTCGAATAAAGTTGTGTCGAGAAAACTCGTTTAAAATGTTGAGAATCACCATCTTACTGATTCCGTGATAAATGTTTGCCTGATAACTCTAAAGTTCACTGAGTATAGTACCTATGCAATATTAAAAGAATAATACTTGGCCTATATGCTTTCACATTTGTTCTCGATTATTCCTTTTTATCCTTAAATCCCTATATAGTTATTATATTTTTTTGTTTATACATACTTATGCGCAGGAATGCCATATGAAAAATCTAGAGTTTTCTACACAATGACTTCAATTCTGTAAACATTAAACTGTGTTTCGGTCATATATACAGTCTTTAAATTAGAATAACTTACTCAAATCACTACATGGAAATCCGGTTATTAAATCCTGATAGGGCACAATTGGTGGAGGTGGTGGTGCAGTTGCATCTTGGGTCCACAATGGCTGAAATGGTACTTCCGACATGTAAGCACTTTCTGGAGGATGTTGCATGTTTTTTTTAATTTACAAATTAATCGAACTTCTTTATTAATATGATATTCCTATTATTTGATGATATTAACTATTTAATTTATTCTTATAAGAATCGCCCTTTTGTCTGTGATTCTGTTCAGTCTTTTCTATTTGAAAGTTTCCATTAAAATGTTCTTGAGATGTCTGCAATAAAATATTGTTGCCTCTGAAATTCTGTTAAGATTTGTAATTTCTTTGGCCATTATGGGGTTGAAGAGTTTTGTCACCATTTTTCTTCTTCTCTATTCCAATTGGTAACAGTTGCTCGCAATTTGATTGGTTGCTTTGAATGTTTACTTGTTTAGGGGTGGTTTAAATCCAATTGCACGACAACTTCATATGTAGATGTCACTGTTCGCAGTTATGCTTCGAATCAGATCTGTACTGTTGTGAACTGCAAACCAGTAAATCTCTCTAGAAAAAACATGTTACAAGGAAACTTATGGCGCCAATTTTTCCTGTGGAAATCAATATCAATATTTGTTGGTGTAGGTTTGTATTGCTAAAAATAATAAACAATGATATATTCAAAATTTAATTAATGCGTCGTGTCCGACGCTTGAAATGTCGAATCGGATAGATTCGAAAAAAGGACAAACAAGAGAAGACGAATCATTGTAGGCCTTGCTGAACTCCCGCCATGAAGTGGGTAATCAAAAATGCTAAAATATAACCAATTCGATTGGAAAAACCCAAAGGGCCGTCAAAATACCAGTAAAGGAGCGTTATAGGTGACTAGTGCCCAAGAAATCGACCGATACGTATAATTTTCGGTTGGAAGATTTGACGCCCTAAAAGAACTTAAAATTTAAAATAAAAAGCAATTCGATTGAACGTGCCCAAACTTTCTAAATGTCTAAAAGTTATGAGTTCACATAGCCTTAATGCAGCGAATATAGCTCCACATTTTTCTGAAAAACTGTTTTTAACACATCTCGATCGGATTCTGGTCGGAAATTTTAATATTTCTCGATTTTAACCATACTTGAGTATGGCGACATTTATGAACTGATGCGTTGTCCTGCCAAAAAACGAGTCCTTTATTCTTGCTCCTTTCCCAAAATGGCAATAATTTGTCTTCCAAGACTTGAACGAACTCCATTGAATTCATTCGACTACATGGAAATGTCAAATAAAGGCTATAAAATGCTCCCAAGGCCATAAAGGAACCACCACCGAAATATCGTATTAAGAAATAACGATATTTCAGGAACCGCCACCTTGGCAGCATTTTATAGCCACGGAATGCTTTATTTGACATTTCCATGTTGTCGAATGAATTCAATGGAGTTCGTTCAAGTCTTGGAAGACAAATTATTGCCATTTTAGGAATGCAGCAACAATCAAGGACTCGTTTTTTAGCAGGACAACGCATCAGTTCATAAAAGTCGTCATACTCTAGTATGGTTAAAATCGAGAAATATTAAAATTTCCGACCAGAATCCGATCGAGAACATGTGTGGAATCTTGACTCATCGTGTCTATGCAGAAAACCGCCAATACCAAACTGTATTTTACCTCCAAGAAATGATTATCGATGAATGGCGGTCAATCGATGAAAACTTCCGAAAATTTTTCATCAACAGTACGATGGATAAAAAATTTTGAAGTTATTCAAAATAAGGGAGGCCCTACCCATTAATTATAAAAGTTATTTTATTTTAGTTAAGTTTTAAAAAATAATTTTTTCTAATTTTGTAAAAGTGCGTCTATAGTTATGCAACACCAGCAATTTTGAAAGTGCAGAATTCGGCGAAACCATAAAGAATAAATTAATTATTTTTGTTGAATAATATGTGTTTTTGATCGTTTTATTGTGAACAATAACTTAATGGGTCCATTTTATTTGTCAACTAACATACCAATTGAATTAAAGGTGCGTCTATAGTTATGATACGCAGTGTATACCATGAACATACGCAGTGCCATGAACAAAACTAATTATATCAGTTTTGAAATTCGAAGAAGGTCAGTGTTGGCTAACAGATGCTACTATGCTTTAAGTAAGCAGTTTAGAAATAAGGCCACCTCCCGCCAGACCAAACTCACGCGTGCTGTTATATCGATATGAAGCATGGGTACATCCGCAAGCAGATGAGGCAGATCTTTGAGTGTTTGAGAGAAAAATTCTCTTAAGATCTACGGGCCGATTTGCGTCGACGGTGAATATAGACGTCGATTGAACCACGAGGATTACAATCTATACGCGGACATCGACATAGTCAGTCGTATCGAGCTGCAGCGACTACGGTGGTTAGGCCATGTTGTGCTAATGAATAGGAATGCCCCAGCTCAAAAGGCATATAAAAGCGAGCCTACTGATGGTTCACGCAGAAGGAGGAGGCCACGAATTAGATGGAAAGATAATATAGAAAACAACAACTCGGAACATGGTCTTTTTAGGATCGGCTTATGGAACAACCGTTCTGTCACAAGCCAGCTAAGTAAGTAAACAATTTTTATTATCATGCGAACGTCCTATCCCAAAATATTTTAACCAAATCGGTTCAGATTTAGATATAGCTCCCATATATATTTTCGTCCAAAATGGTGCACAAACTCTCAATACATATTCGGTTGAGACCATATTTAGCATAGCATACCGAATTAAGTCCATAATGAATAGTATTAAGTTTTGTTGAAATCGGTTAAGATTTTAATATAACTCCCATATTTAATTTTTCCGATTTTGTAAATTGAGCATAAGGTGGCTAGTTTTTTTCATATACACGAAATTTGTACGGGGTATTGAATTGAGTCTAGAATGACATGTGTGAAGTTTTATTGAAATCGGTTCAGACTATCTTGTAAAGGATTTTGTTAAATATGTTCAGATGTAGATATGACCCTTGTATATTTTCGTCAGAGTTATTGCAAATTGTGCAACGATAAATTGTGGGCAACGTGCATGCCACGATTTCTTAAATCGGTCCAGATTTACATATAGCTTCTATACATAATACCAAAGAACACAAGTCTGCCCGATTGACATGAAATTTTTCATAGATTTCAGAATGATATGTTTATGGGTTGATTAAATTGAATTAATTATTTCCGATTTCATTCTTTTCTATCGACATTTTGTACATATGAGCATCTCTTCTATGTTCTTAAGGTGGTAAAGGGTATCATATATATTTTTTGAGTTTTGGGGAATATTTATATCTGTGCAACGTTTAGGCATGGTCCACAAAATTTCATAATATTATTAATATCCTTCTGATCAGCAAATTAAATACGAGGTACGTCATGATTTACTTACTTTTCCATGTGTTGTACGACCCATCAATTCCACGTTTTGGCTGGTTTAACTATATGTATGAATGTTCGCATTCTCACGATGATTCGCCTTTTCCTTCGTTTTTCGAATTTCTCCGAAGACTTCAGGCTTACAGAATTTACCTTTCTCCGTTACTTAAGAGACATAGTGGTGACATGACCAGCTTTACCGAAGAAATCTGCGACAAAATCCAAAAATTGTGTTGAATATCGATCGATCTTTGGGTGTTGCCCTTATATAAGGTCCAGTCAATATTTTCATTTGCTTGTTTTTCATGTTATGTGAAGTGAGCTTTAAATCGACTAGCTATAGAAAATGCTAAGATGCTTGTTTTTTTTTAAAAAAATTCCAAAAAAGGTTCATTATGCCCTTAAGGCAAAGTCCCAGTAAAAGTAACCACTGACATGACTTCCTAAATTTTGATTTGCCTTAATACCTTATAGAGGCGTTAAAGCGTAAAATTATATCAGCTATGGTGGTATAAATGAAGGAAAACACCTATTTTAAAATGTGTATGTGTGTGTGCGTTTCTATAAGAACATAGCAAGCATTGATTTAGAAAAGTTGACAGTTATCCTAAGTGCAACCCCCATTTCTATACAGATAACAAATTCCAATTGGATAAAAATGTTGGTATATAGTTCATATCGTATTTGTTTGCAATTTTATGCAACACAGATTGCTAACAGAAAATGATTATAATTTCACGCTTTGTTAATAGTGTCATCATTTTTTGGTATGAGTCTTGACATTACACTTTTTAGGGATTCGAACAGATGATGACATTCCCAGAATTTTCTTTATGCTCAATTGCATTTTTTATGGTTGTAAAAAATTATTTGTTTACTAAAAATTGAATAACTAGTGTTCTGTGCTAAATTGTTTGTTTGGATATTTGGGGTGGATTAGATTTGAATTAAAAGGGATTTGGACACGTAATAACCATGTACAATTAGGGGGTCAAATACACCTCGATTTTTTAAGAATGAAAGGAATGTCTTCGTATGTATACAGGGGAGCTCGTTCACTTTATGATATGTGATAGGCGAACTACAATTAAAACTTTTGACATACTTTAATTGAAAATTCCTCTAAAAGAGATTTCAGAACCTTCAATTCAATTTTATACCATATGTGTACGTTTTGACATATCTCCAAAGCATCCTAGCCGAATTGGAAATTAAAATATTCGACCTGGATCTTCAAATGTTAAACACTTATATACATTATTCGAAAAAAAAATTCAATGAAAATGGCTTGGGGGAAGGTATTTTATCCTTTCAGTACCCTAAATGTGGATTGCACCGTCCACCAATCTAAAATTGTTTTATTTTAACCGTTTAGTGCGGGCGATGTTACAACAAGAATCCACTGAAAAAAATCAAACAAATGCAACATATAACAAGTTTATGCCTGCATTAGTTGCTTGAGTAACTTCTTATACATATTTGAATTCTGAAAAGAAAAAATGTACGTAGGCTTACAAAATTTTTCAGTATGCCAATATTTATACCCCTCACCCCACTGTAGTAAAGGGCACTATGTCATTGTATATACATATCGTTAGCTAAAATGCAAAAAGGCGTAACTAACAAAAAAAAAAAAAATTGAAAATTGACTTTTTGAATGAATATTGTGAATGTCAATAAACTACATCTGTTGACAAAGTTTTACACTACTTAATTGTTATGACTGCCAT